GGCTTCCGTAATCCCAGCCCGATCGGCGGCGATGTCTCTCTCTTTCCAATATCACTAATGTCACTTCTATTGGCTGCATTAGACAGATGTTCGAAAGCTCCCTCTCGCTCGCTCGCTAAATCTGATCCTCCTGTAATACTTTCACTGCTATTAAATCCACATGCACCCACTCTTATTCCCTCCCCCCGCTACCCCTCCTCCCCCCCCCCCCCCCCCCATTCCTTTTACTTTCCTGAGTGGACCCTGGCTGCGTTTGATCGTCTTTTCCAGGGCAAAAAGAGATCTTCTGGCGAACAGACAATGGGATTACCCTCCCTCCCCATCTGGTTGTCTCCCACTGAACCCTGTCTCCTCCAAAACCAAAAAAAAACCCAAAAAAACCCACCCACACACACACAAAAAAACCAAACCAAACAAACAAACAACCACACAGAAAGTTCAGAAAAACTAATACTGCCTGGGATGTCACTGTTTCTGGCTACTCAGTAGATTCGATTCTCTGTTCATAAAAGAGAGAATTGCGAGATTTACCTCTTCGACGTAGGATTGCAATTAGTGTTGGGATGCTCTAGATATCCCTACATAAATTTATGGATGGATAAACACACACACACATCTGTGTAGACAGATCAGACACGTATTTTCGGCAGGTGCGTCTTCCCAGTTTGTTTATCCTTACCGAGATATCTTTTGCCTAACTCTTCTTCAAAAAAAGGCTAAGGAACATCCAGCCGAACTGGCTTTTAACTTCTTATTCTTGCTGTCGATCAGTTTTCTTTTCCCCGCTTTACTTCTACTGTTCTTCCTTACTTTTTGCTTTCGTTTTTCGTTGTACCCGCCTTTCCCTCTTACAGGGTCACAACTCCCTTTGTAACTGTGTGTTTTATTCCGCACACCCCCCCCTCCAGCTGTCCTTTTGTTGTTTTCTCCGACTAACCCACATAAAAGAAACACATATGCAACTCTGTCTCCTTGCATTTTCAGATGTTTCTCTCACTATTGTCTGCTACAGCTTATCGAAAGTGCAAAGTGAAAACAGATGTAAAAAAGATAAAATATATATATATACACGCACCGAGTCCAGGGAGCAGAGAATAAATCTGGTAAATCCCATCAGAGAGAAAGACAGAGAAAGGAGAAAGAAAGAGAGAAAGGAGAAAGAAAGAGAGAAAGAGAGAAAGAGAGAAAGAGAGAGAGAGAGAAAGAGAGAGAGAGAGAGAGAAAGAAAGAAAGAAAAAGAAAGAAAGAAAGAAAGAAAGAAAGAAAGAAAGAAAGAAAGAAAGAAAGAAAGAAAGAAAGAAAGAAAGAAAGAAAGAAAGAAAGAAGAAAGAAAGAAAGAAAGAAAGAAAGAAAGAAAGAAAGAAAGAAAGAAAGAAAGAAAGAAAGAAAGAAAGAAAGAAAGAGAAAGAAAGAAAGAGAAAGAAAGAAAGAAAAAGAAAGAAAGAAATGTGCACCTCAGGTTCCTAATTAGCACAAAAGGGCATTTTCATGAGATTTGATCATTTCCCTCTGCCCGGACAAGAAGAAATCAATGGCGTAGGAATCTATAAATCAGTCAGCATGTCAGGACAAATCAAAATAATGCTTCTATTATTTCAATCAATAAACCATTTTTATACCTAACATCTGATCTGCACAATGTGTTTGTGTTGGAAATTTGCAGAGCTGCTTTGCACAAAAACAAACCATTAACATACACGTCAATCACAATTGTAACTGCTTGAAATGGCCGGAGATTTCAGCGCCGGGCTGACTTGAAAAATTCCGGGACAAACAGAAATGCAAGGGGGGGTGGATCGGGATGAAAACACTTCAGAAAGTTTGTCACTTCTACGTTGTTTGCCCCCCTCAACCCTGAACTTTGCCAACGGTTGATGGGGAGGAGGAGAGCTGGGTGAGGAACTGGGGAGAGCAGGCAGGACCGCACCAGGTCCATGCCCTGTGGCATGTGTCCCCCAGAGCCTATAGTGTTCCATCTGTGCAGAGTCCCGCCTGCGGCCCGTCCCGCAGGTGCAGGCATCAGCAATCCCCAGGCCAGCCCCATACCCCGGCGGGGCCGTGGAGCCCCTCAGCTCGGGCATGCGGGAAGCTCTCAGTGCCGAAAGAAAAGCAGCCTGATGCTCCCTGGCCTTTCTGGCCAGCTCTGCTCAGGGACTCCGACGCTACCTGTCTGGAAACATCTGCAGCCCCAGACAGGGATGCAGAAGGTGCCAGATGGGTTTCCTCTACATCTCGCTGTACAGTGCTTCGCCTTGCTTGTTTGCAAATCCACCAAATAATTCATGCCAAACAACCATTTAGAAACCATTTTCTTTGTTTCTTTGAAATCCTACTGTACAGCTCCATCTGCCTCATATAAATGAATAATCCTTCTTGATACCATTCCTAATCCATTTCTTTACAGTCGAATTGGAAAGGGGGGGTGAAGGTGGGATTAATAATCTTTAAAAATGTAAAGCCCCAAACAGCCACAGATCCGGTGTATTTATTGCTTCAAATTAAACATATGTCCACCTACCCAACCCCCTCCCTTGTGGATGGATTTAGGACAAACAGAGGCATTTCTCAGCACCAAAATCCCATGCAAAATTCTTTAGAGTTTAGAACCTGGATTCTTTTTTCAAGAGCTAAGTAGCATCAGGCATTACTCAATGTGTCATGTCTCAATCAGTAGCGTCATGTCTCAATCAATCCTTCATTAGACAAGAAGAGGAGGAAGAAGAAGAAGAAGGGCTAGGAGATTTTGGCCCTGTCAGAATGGGGCTAGTCCCACGCTGCCCTGGGTATCCATCCCTGCAGCTCTTCACTTCCCTGCCGTGCCTGGTCCCTCCCAGTTTGTTCCATGTCGCCGCGTTACAACGAGCACGGGGCGATCATCTGTAATTCATTGTTTGTTTGGGAGGGAGCAAGGGGGAGGGAGCGAAGGGGAGAGAGAATAGCAACTGGAAAGGTTGCAGATTATGTTGTTTCGGGATTTTCTTTTTACCCCAGGATTGATACACAGAGTGTGGAGGCTTTGATAGGTTCTCTTTTTCCTTCTTTTTCTTTTTTTTTTTTTTTTTTTTTTTTTTTTTCCTATTCCTCAGAGTGCTAGTATTTTTTTTACTATAAGGATGACTTTTGTACGCCCCTGACAAGGCAACTCGGAACAAAGAACATTTGCACTTCTTCTCTTGGACAATCAGCGCCTGCTCACACCATGCACCTTTGGTCTGCCACTATCCCAACGCCCCTCGGGTTTTGTTCTTCTCTTCTCTTCTCTTCTCTTCTCTTCTCTTCTCTTCTCTTCTCTTCTCTTCTCTTCTCTTCTCTTCTCTTCTCTTCTCTTCTCTTCTCTTCTCTTCTCTTCTCTTCTCTTCTCTTCTCTTCTCTTCTCTTCTCTTCTCTTCTCTTCTCTTCTTTCTTTTTTTTCTTAATATTTAAATTTCCTAATCGAATTTCTTCTTTCCCTCCCTGCTATTTTCAAAGATTTTTTTTCCTTCTTTCCCTCTCGTTTCCAGATCAAACGAAGCTCGTCTATCTTCCCGGGATGGTGAGGGCCGAGGGGATTAAGATATTATTAGAAAGCCATATTCCCACAGTCAAAAAGGAAGAGAAAGGGGGGAAAAATCTCAGTATTTAACGGAGCCGGTACTCTTCCGGCAAAACCTTGAGGAAACCCGGGGACACCGGCCGGCAGCCTCCGCCGGCGCACGGCGACTTCGGCCTCCACGGGCGGCCCACGGACGGCCACTGTCCCGGGGGGTCCGCCGCCCCCGGCCACTTTCACAGTGCCCACCAACCACGCCGCACTCGGGGTTACCCGGCACCCGGGTCGGGCGGGGCTGGGGGCGGCGGGAATGGCGAACGCCAGCGGAGCCCCCAGCGGGAACGCGTGGGTTGAGCCCCACTGCGCGTGTAGCCGTGGGCTTTCTCCTCCTCCACCCGCGCACCCACCACCCGCGCATTTGACCGACACAAATTTAGTTTCCTTCCTCAACAAAGGGAGAGAAAGAAGGCTCACAGCAGACGTTTATTTTTCTCATTTTCTTTTTTCTTTTTTTTTTTTTTTTTTTTTTTTTTTTTTTTTAACTCAGAGATGGTGTGAGTACATTCTCGGCCGAAAAAAAAAAATCAGCCATAATTAATGGATTAAGTTGTTGTTCTTGCTGTTGTTGTTGTTGTTATTATTATTGTTGTTGTTATTGGGCTGGCTATCCGGTTCCGAGACGAGACCTAAACATTATTTTCCGTTTCATAATTTCAAATAGAGTTAAGTGCTGTATCATCAGTTTTTCCCCTTTGTCTGTCCCAGTTGTAAATAATGGCTTTGAGATTAGCTAATTACGGCGCATTAATCACTGATAGAGAGGAAATAAATCAAAGCCTAGTTCGAATTTTCAAACTCACTAGTAGAGAGATGCATAGCAACTCTATCTGCAGCAGATAGGTGCTGTTTAAATTACTGAGGCTACAGAGTAAACCACATCCACGTCACTTTAAAAAATGAAGATTTTATTTATACATACCAGTTGTGCCATTAAGTGGAGGTTTGGGGAAATTTTTTCAGTCTACTTTTGTAAAAAAGTGGTGCAGTCTGAAGCCAGCAACGTTGACATGTCGCATTAATAAACTTCTCACAATAAAAGCAGAATATAGAGGAGGCAAACAGAAAGACGTGTGTGAGACAGAAAAGGAGATATACAGATGAAAGTCCTGTCGAAAAGACCCCTTATTATTTTTCCTGTGATTGGATTACACAGAATTCTCTATTATATATGTATATAACATATGCATATATATAACCTAATACAATAACTAGTTACTGTATTTTTAAGAATTTCACTACCCTCGCATCCTTCCTTCTATCCTCCTCACAGTACAGCACGTTTTGTAGTCAAGTCCTCTCAGTATTTTGAAACACTTATCTTCGGGGATGGGAGTTAGATAACTATATGCCAGAAAGCAACAAGCCAGCTTCTAGGAGAAGAAATCATGTAGGTCTTCAAAAAAAGTGGAGCATGCAGACGGAAATTCGGAACCCTAGGCAGGAGACCTACAAACTCCCCACAGACACAGGCGGACACACACATACACGCGCACTCCACCCCAAAAAGCACTCCTCCACCTGGAGGCAGGCAGAGACCGCCCCCGCCCGGGTCCTCCTCAGCCCGCAGCCCTCCGTCCCCTTGCCCTCCGTCCCCGAGCCCTCGCCCCGATTCGTACCTTCGCCGGGCTCCGCAGCCCTGCCCGCGGCGGCAGCCGGGTTCCCCTGTCCCGTGACGGCCACGCGCAGGTGGCCACGGCTCCGAGTGCCGAACCCGCCGGATGACACCGCCTCCCCCTGCCTTTTAGTCAAGAAACTTGTAATTAATTTCAAGTTACTCCGCGCACCGTATCATTAAAAACAGGCTGGGGAACGGCGCCAGAGCCCGGGAGCAGGGGATGGGCAAGGGGAAGGAGATTTGCGTACAGCTTTGTCTTTACCGCGGGTTGCGCTGGCACGGGTTATAGCGCTAAGTGCACCAAACTGATGAGCACATCGCTCTCGAGCGCAGTTTAAACCCGGAGCCGCATCCCCGCAGACCCCCCAACTCCGGCCCGGCGGAACCCCCCGAGGTCGGGCTGTACCGCGGCGGCTGCGCTGCCCCCGCGGGGGAGCGCCGTGCCCCGGGCGGCGCTCCAGCGGCCCCTTCCCCGCGCGGGCAGAGGCGGAGCAGCAGCGCGGCCGCGCGCGGCGGCGGCACAGCGCGGTCCCTCCCGGCACGGCCCGTCCCGCGGGGGCCTGCTGCCACCTGGCGGGCCGCCTCCGAGCGCCTCCGAGTGCCACCCGAGTGCACACCGAGTGCCACCGAGCGCCTCCGAGCGCCTCCCGAGCGCACCGACCCGCCGCTGGGCCAAGGCCGCCTCCGCGCAGGCTGCGCGCCCCTGACGGCTACCCACGCGGGGCGTGCGGGCCGGTGACGGGCGCGTCCGCTGCCACCCTGAGCCCGGCCCTAAACTGGGGCGTGATTTTACCGGGCTGTGGCAGGGCTGTTGAAGTCTGCCTGGCTCGTTTAGAGAGTGGCCTTCCAGGCAGTGATGAGAACAAAAGGGAGAAAACGAGGGGCCAGAGTAACGCATCCACACCCTCTGTTTCCGGAGGTGTAGTGTGCACTTCTACGTCCTTTTCTGTGATCAGATTTGCCACATAATTCTTACTTTGCAACCAAGTGGAGCCTTTATCCAGGATCGCATTTTCTCCTTCGTGGTGTCATGGGAGCACAGAGCATGTCAATATTAAATACAGATGTGATGAGGGCCAGAGATAGGGAGAGAGACAAGGGCAGGGGAAACATCATCCTCACTTCCTCAGTACCCATATAATTATCCCTTGAGGAATCTGATGTATGATGATTGCAGAGTAAGAGGACTAAAAAGACCTGAATTTTCGGTAGAATAGTCCTTCGTTAAGAAATTCTGCTTAAGTCTTGAGTTGAATGAATTCAGTGTTGCTAATACCTAGAATGTACAAAATATGATTTTACTTTTAAAGTAACAACGTTCTTTGTATCTTCAGTATTTGTATTTGTACTGGTCTGAGATTAGTTAATTCTGCTTCTTATCTCTTTCCCGGAGCTGGCTGTTTCAGAAGATCCAGTTGTAGCCTCCAGCCAGGCCAGGGATCTAGCTGTGTATAAGCTCTTCCCACACTGTCCTGACAAATGAGTGCCAGAATAGAATGCCTCAGCAATTTAAAATCCAGGACCCGAACACAAGCCCATTTTATGAACTATTTAAGCTGATAAGGAGACATTGGTCATTTCCAGCAGGGGCCAAGATGGGTAACTGGTAAATGACTGCAGTTCAACTACGGCTCACCTGCCAAATATGTTGCTGTGCAAATGTATAGATCTTGAGGGCAACCAGATCTCCGTGGGTCCCAGATCACAATAGGTTTTCTAAGTACATTTGCAGCATAAGTTAATGATTGTTTTGCATTATTACTAGTTTGATATAGTTAGTTATCATTAGCTTGGCATAATCAGTTATGAGAGGATTTTGTTCTATAGCAGAATTCCTGAGCGTGTTCCTTGATTCTCAGAATGTATTGCTGCAGGAATCACTTCTAATCACATGTAACTTGGGAGTCATTTATTACGCTCGCTGAGGACTAGAAACCTGGAAGTCAACAGCACTTGGGGCAGTTGCCCCTGCTTAGAAGGTGGCTGTAAGAACTAGAAACGTCTGTAACAAAATGAATTAGCTACAGAAAGTTCACTTGTCATTTCCCGGCAATCAAATAAAATGTAAACCAGACCCTTTCTTCTTTTCTTTCCATCACTAATTCTTCTTTTCCTTCAGTTAAAACCATTGTGAAAAAATTAGACTATGAAACTAATTATATGAACATTTCATCAGCTCCTCAGTAGAAAAAAACCCAAACCTATCACACATATATGCCCATATACATATAAGTGTCTATATATAACTTGAGTGCAAATTTATAGAAGTTATATAGTATATTAATCCATTTAGGCTATGGTAAGATATTTATTAAGGTGAGCAGATTATTAGCTACTGGTATTCATAATAGAGAAATGATGAATATTATCCACAGTAAAAGCTATTGGTACCACATCTAGCACAAGTACAATAGAAATAACAAACACTTTCTCCCATGCTTTAGATTATATATATTTGATTTATTCATTAATTCACAAATTAAATATTAAGAATCTCTCAATATGTCATATGTATCCTAACATAACCATTAATATACAATTACACCAGAAATTAATTTGACCCATATGCTTGCTTACTTCAAGTCCGAGCTTGTGCCCCACCTGCTCTCTTCACACTGCCCCATATCACTATATCCACGCTGCAAAATTTGTCTTTCAGCCACTAATTTTTATCAAGATGTATTAAAGATCCACTAAGGATCTTATCAACATTACCTCTATGTCCCTCAGGGTTTAGTTACACCTTCTGCTCTGTGGCAGAAAAGGCTATTACATCATTTACTTTTATCCATGCTCTTTTTTTTTCCTGGCAAAGAGGGTTGTGGGAGGATCTTCATAGGGGTTCCTACCCCCTTTCCATCACTACCTCATCAGTTCTGCTGCTGAGACAATTCCCTGGGCAAAACGCAGAGAGTGCAGATAGTGAAGAGGTAGCCTTTCCACAGGTGAGGGCAGGAGCTAAGTGCAGTAGGCTAACCAGTGTTGAACAGGGAAGAAGTAACAAGAGCACTCTCATAATGGAGAGACTGAGAAGGATGTGGTTTCATAAAAATCAAGAGTGCTTGGGGTCAGGCCAGTTAGAAAGAGGCAGAATGCAGGAAAGCCCAGAGCATCTACTCTCAATGAAATATGCAAAGTTGAGAAAAAAGAAAAAGACTTCCTTTAAGAAGAAGCAAAGCTATACAGGATAAAATATAAAATCTAAGCCTAATACATGTCCATGTCTACATTTGTATCTACAGACAATACTATGAAGATATGTTTTGATACATTATAAATTTCCTAAGGCAAGTACCACCTGTATTTGTGCAGTCCTAGGCGTGACTGGGGACTGTAGGAGGTGCCACAGGCAAGGCAGGAATTCAGGACAAAGACATAATATTCCACAAAACTGTCAAAGTCCCTTGTGAATGTCATCACACTACATGAATAATACCTTTATTGAGAACTGCTGTCATTGATTCTTGCAACTGAAATACGAAATCTTTTGTATCTTTACGGGAAATTCTTCTCTTCAGGCTTTATTGTGCTTTCTCTTTGCAATAGTGTTCGGGCAGTTCTGGGCTACTCTGGGCAAATCTAGAGTCAATAACTAAGGAGAATTGTGAAGTGGGGAGATCCAGAAGATAATAGGGATCCTTGTCATTTGACATTTGCTCAGGTAGAGTGTTTTTACAGGCACAATGATTACATCACAAAAACACTTCTTTTAGCTTCCTTATAGATAGGCCTAAACAAAATCCATTCATTGTCTATATGAATAAAAAAACAAAATAAAGCAAAGCAAAGCAAAAAAAAATGAGAAGTTTGCAGTCTTCTTGAAAAGTCTAAATATTCCTGCTCTGTTATTGCATGCCCAGTGACATATTTCTCAACCAGCAGGATAAGAGAGACACAAAATAAAATGAGAAAAACACTAGTAAGTTTAACAGTTTGTTGCTAGATGTTTCCATGTGGAAGAGAATCAATTATGTACCTCTAAATTCACATATAAATTAAACCCCGAAAACTGCAAAGCATCTAATGGAGATTACTGCTGTATAAAAACAGCAGCTGTGAAAAGAAGTAAGCCTGTGGTACCTCCCCTGGCTGCAGCTTATTCACAGACCGTGTTAGCACTGTGAGGTTAGGCTTGTTATGTCTTAGGCATATGTAACTGCGAGCTTGTGAAACCCAATAGTAAAATTCAATTACTGCAAATTCATCCTAAGGAAGGAAGACAGAACGGAGCTGACAGCATTGCTGCTGAGTCACTAGGTAAATGTCTATGCTTTGGTCCCAATTACAGACAGGCTGGTAGCTAAAATTGCACAGGACACTCTGACTGTCCTAGTGTTTGTCCACAAGAGATTCTTCATCTTGTGCTGTGCTGAATTTCACAGCACTACAATATCTTATAGTGAGCTAATTTAAGGCCAGGCAAGTCCTTCCCTCACAAGAGGTATACAAAAATGGCAGACAGTGAAATGCCCACAAAATGCAATAAACTAATGCTAAATTTTATCCATCAACCCTAAATGTGGGGTAATCATTACAAGGACCTGTTAAAACTGTTTAGTGCAGAGTGGTCATGGTGTAAAAATCACCCTCAGTTTCTTCTTAGTAGCCATGCCAGCTAGTACAAATTAATTCCGTATGATGCATTTGCAAGCAATTGTTTTTCTGAGAGTAAGGAAAAGAGCTGTTCCTTTGCATCAAATCACTAAATATGCATTGCAAAGTAAATGAATCATCAAAGAAAGTAACTAAAAGGGATGCACTATGGTATATCTGAGTGCAAAACTTTACTGTAGTCTTGTACAGTATCAATTCAAGTCAAAGTCGAGGTAAGACATAAAAAAGCAACAACACAAAAAGGTGGTTCTGTTGAACAGCAGTCTCCAAACACAGTTTGGGCTAAGGGGAACCTTGAGACCAAGCAACATCTTTAACATCAGCATGTTAAAATATTCAAAGACTGTGAAGTACCATATATATTCCAGATAAAAGGCTTTTATGAATTAAAAAGAAAAAAAGATTATTGCTAAAATTTGACAACAGGATCAAATTAAGTTTAGCTGTGAGTGGGAGGCAACCAATAAGCTGTATTTGGAAGTGATGTATACTGGACAACCTCCATAATATCTGGAAGCACAGACAACCCTATCACCATTTTTACCACTAATAGAAATATAAACAGTTATAGTGCTTTCTTTCTGCTTTTCTAGAAGCGTTCATTCTAACTCAGTCTAACAGTCAACTCAGTCTCCCTTACATGTTAAGACTTCATTAGCATCAACATTAACTTCTCTGTACAAACAGCCACGATTGAAACATAATTGAATTTAGTTACCTTGTTTTGAGAATCTGTCTCACTAATGAGAATGCTAAGACATTTTCTTTAATGACAATTATTTTCTTCTGTTCCATTTGAAGTACAAAAGGGACGTTGTACAAAGTGGTGTTCTGAGAAACTGTAGAATGAATAATGTGTGGGTTAGAGTTTTAGCTTGCAACCATCCTAGAGTTGAGTGCTGAAGCCTTTGAGTTAGACATAAAACACCTCTGACATCAGCATTTCCCACTGATCCTCCATCCACCCCCTTGGCATGTGTAAGGCTTGTTACAAGGCACCCAGTGTTCTTGGCTTTGGCATGAGACCAAGCTGGTCTGTACTGGCAAGGCTGACAGAATTTAGGACATGTAAAGAAACAGAGAGAGTGAGAATTAACCTCCTAGATCTGAGGAACAGGATTACTT